GTGGCCCAGCGGCGCCGGTGCCACCGGCGGCGCCCCGGACTTGAGGCGCAAGTTGTACTCGGTGCGGATGGCCACGAGGCGCTCGTGCAGGCGGTAAACCCTATGGGCAGTGGCACATCAGCATGGCGCACAGCACATGGCATGCAGCTCGGCATGTGGCCATGGTGCAGCACGGCACGGCGTGGCGCAGCATGGCACAGTGCAGCACACCATAGTGCAGCACGGCACAGCGTGGCACAGCACGGCACGGCTCCTACCTGCGGTACATCTGCTCCCCTTGCGGGTGCCGCCCGTCCTTGAGCGCCTGCACATCGTTGAAGAGCAGCCGGATCATGGCGTCCGCCTTGTCCAGGTCCCGCTCCACCTCCGCTGCCTTCTGCGGTGCCTTGCCGGCGTTGAGTAGCCGGATGTCCTGAGAAGAGAAGCCAGCATGGTCAGGGCACCACCGCGGAGCCCCGCACCATGCAGCACCTCCGCTTGGCCTCGCCGCACTCACCGACTGCAGCAGCGTGTCCGCCTGGTTGAGCTGCTCCTCGCACAGCCCCGACTCCATCTGCAGCTTGCTGACGATGCGCTGCAGCCGCTCCAGTCTGCGCAGTGAGAGGCGGCATTGGGGACGGCGCGCAGGCACCCGTCCCAGCCCTGCACGGCACAGATCCTGCCCATGTGGCATGGATCACAGCCCTGCATTGCATGGATCCAGTCCCTGCAGCACCCAGATCCAACCCCTGTATTGCACGGATCCTGTCCCTGCACTGCAGGGATGCAAGCCCTGCATCATATGGATCCTGCACTGCATAAACACTGCACAGACTGGGATCCCATCCCTGCATGGCCCAGGTCCCATCCCACATGGCACAGATCCCATCCTTCCACAGGCTGGAATCCCACCCCTGCTCAGACTGGGACCACATCCCAGCACATCAGTGCACGTCCCATGTCCCCTCCGCACGGGGCGAAGCCTCCACCCCAGCAGTGCCGCCCCCTCCCTCCGAGGGCCGGGGCAGGCCCGGTCCCACACGGACACGACCACGTCCCCTCCCGCGCTGGCAGGAC